TCTAATAACTTTGATGAATTTTTCCTTTGTGAATTAGAAAATTTTGCGCTTTTTGTAACTATATTTGATATATAAAAGGGGTTGAGCCATTTTTCATCGATAAATAAGGTCGAAATCAGTGATGGACTTGATGCTATACCATTAAATGAAGTACTAATTGAATTCCCAATGATGATTCAATTTTAGTAAAATACTTGGTATTCGGTAATCGGTAGCATTGGAATAGTAATATTTTAAGAGTAGAATTTGTCCACATCTGGTCGAAATTCACAAAAACATTCTAAAAAGTTCAGCTACATTAAAAACGTGCTTCGTGATTTTTTTTCAATAAACCGACTTTATGCCTTCCTATGAATTTGACTACAGAGCGGAAATAAATGTGTTCATCGTTGTCCGAAACGTAAAACGCGAGTGAAAATTTACGATTCTGAGAAAATAATTTTTTAACGTCCCGCACGAATACAAAGCTTTCCTACCTTCGCTAGCGAGGAAGCAAAAGTATTAATCATTTAAATATATGTGAATATAAAAATGATTTCACGGACTCTGGTACACGAACCTCTGGCGTAGATAGTTTTAAATACTCGGATTTTTAGAAAATGGTCCTAATGTTTTGAAAAGATCTATTTAATATATATATATATATATATATATATTGAAATAAAATTAGTTTAATATCGTTACAACACAAATCAGTTAGTAATGCTCATGCTCAGTAACTATACTCGCGGAGTCGTTATCAAGGACACCTTATCCATTTATGGGGAGGACCATAAATAAATGTTAAAGATTAAGTATTAATATTTTTTTAAAGAAGATATTTTTATTTATATAGTTATGATTTATGATTTCTTTGATTTGTAAAGGAAATAGATGGAATATTCAATGTTAAATTTCAATATAATTATACAAATTTATTAATACTATTTTGAAAAAAAAAAAAAACCATATCTCCATCCATCTCTATGTAACCTACTCCAATAAATCGGATAAAAGCATCGCCTTGTTTAGAAACCCACAGTGCAGTGGGATGAAACCCTCTGATGCAATGGGACAAAATTCTCTGAACTTGGCTTTCACTCAGATATTTCTCTATATTACTTGATTTATTTAAACGTGAAATAAATTTTATTAAATTATTAATCCTAAACTTGCTGAATGATAAAACAAAAACCATTTTATAAAATTAAAACGAAAACTCCTGGTTACTGTGTTGTCATTTCTTTTTTATTATTTTTTATTTTTCAAAAGACTGAAGATATCCTGCCAACATTGAGAATCTCTTAAAAGCGAGTCAAAGAAATTAATTTTCGAATTATTTATTTCAAAAATCCTTGATCCAAGCCAAATCAAGTAAAAGCGTTATCTTAACTTCTATAATAGTATATAAAGATATTGCATATGTCTGATTAAAAAACCACACTCATTTTAGTAGCTACCAATCTGACACGAAAAATTACATTTGCGTTAGATAAACTGTTTATTGAGAAAGAAAAAAGGGATTTGTAACATCATAACAATTTGTAACAATCATAAATCTGGAAAACAATCGCACTTGCAAAGCTGTTCATAACTATTTCTCAGTCATTACAAAGTAAACTTTTAAACATGTTGAAGTCGACTTAAGAGAAGACTGTTTTTCTATACACTGCCTTATCTGAATAAGTTTACAGAGAAAATCACCTATCCCACAGGAAGAAAGAACTTAAAATATGTGCTCTAAAGTGCTGTGTGTTATATAAATAATTTAAAAGATATCGTATACCTTTTGTTTTTCCACATAAATGTCGGACATTCTCTATTTAATCAGATGCACTTGGCCCGGAACTCATCAAAGATGAGTTTATTTAGACAACACGGCGCAATTCCATACGAATGATTACGAATATTCCTACAGCCCCATCAGTAATTGATTTCTCCATTAGTTTATTATAATTTATTACAAAATCTTTCTTTTATGTATGATAAATCATACAGCACTAACTATTTCTTGAAATCAAATTAACTCCAAAAGAGATCATATGTGTTTTCTTTGCTGAGAAACTCCCAGGGTGGTTTATAGAAGGTTATGAACCACAAATGGGAAGCTGCGTGACCTCTTAACAAAGAAACCTTCCATTGCAGTACCTTCACACGGAGCTATTGTCAGGAAACAGATGAGGAAGTAACGTTGCTCATCAGCTAGTTTGGAACAGAGCAAGATATAGCATTCTGATAAGACATAGTAGGATCGGAACATTAAATATGGATATTTAATAGCTAGACCCATTAAGGATTAGAGGGATTGGAAAATTTAATTACAATCTATTAAGCCAGTTAATTAATTTCTATATTAAATAAATTAATTTAAAAAAATTAGTTTCATTGATCCTATGAGGAAGATACGACAAAAGTAATAAAAAAAACAAACTATTCGTTAATATTGATTAACATTCACTTAGCACCCACTATGCAATACCTTGATGAAATACTTCGTCTATCTACAGCCACAAATCCAATTAATCCGTCCAGAAGACTGCTGAGGCGCTGGCCATGAGACTGCATTGAGCTGCTTGCTATCTTATGTTATTATTTTTGTTCTATTTTTTTTTTTTTTTACTATGTTATTTACTTGTTTTTTTCTTTAGTTTAGTTTTGTTATTTACAAGTGTTTCATTTTTCTATTATTCATATTCTTGCTTGCCTGTTTTTTTTATTTTGTCCTGTTTGCTTGGACATCATATAAATTCCTTATTATCTATCATATTTGATCATCGCTATTGTAGATAGCAAATATATCTTGACAGACATATGTATCTTATAAATAAAATAAAGGTCTGCTAGAAAAACAATATTAATTTGATAACTTTTGAAATGAAAAAAATCCAAGAATTATGAATTTGCATTCATGATCAAAACTATAAAATCGCAAATAGATAGGAGAATTTTTGGACCTGTGGCAACCCTGCTAGGTATCGTATAAGTGTAGTCAGCTTTATATATATATATATATATTTTAAAATATATATTTATATATAAAATATATATATATTTTAATATAAAAAATGTTATAATTAGTGATATTAATTATTTTGTGATTCATCTTGTTCAAATGGACGTGTTGCTAATTGTTAGGAAATAAAAATGTAGGATAGTTGCATAAAATCATTTATATTTTTTAAATAAATTTTGGAACTTCGATATATTTCATACTTTATGTTTACAATAAGTGTTTATTTATTTAATTTGAAAGGTTTTGATGTTCATTGTAAAATTAAAATTATTCGGTATGACGCAGGCAATAAGCTCACGTATTTCCCCGCTGGGTGAACCAGGATAGAAAACTCACTTACCTAATTTACTTTAGAAACCATTGGGGTTTGTAATAACCTTAATACTTTTCAAAACTACTTTTTTGGCCCAAATCTACATTTTTGGCCCAAGTCTACATTTTATTATGAAATAAAAATTGTGGGTGGATACTCAATGGAACTCTGACCGGGCACCGAACGAAATTTGAAGAATACGAATAGCGATGCTATTATAGTTTGATTAAAAATTTCCAACATGGTGTAACAATTTAATTTCTTGACCAAAGTGAGTTTCTTCAAGGCTCAGATAAACTTAACTGGGTAATCCGACCTTAACAAGACAAGGAGAACTGATTATTATACATATTACTGCACTAAACTAACGAGTGTGAAGGGCGAGTTTTGCCACATGATACAATAAACAAATAATTCCCATACTAATGACTAATGAAACTCTAGAAATGGACCAAGAGAGCTTTTATTTTACTTTCGAGTTAATTTTGCATATTAAAGCAATATATATTAACAAATCGACCCCATTAACCTTACAATAGACTGCGTAACCAATCTCAAAATAGACACAATGACAGACACCCCCCTCTCAAAAATGGACTGCTATTGATTCGACTATCGGCACTCTAGAAAGTTTCCTTTGTTTCCTTCTTCTTTTCAGTCCTTCCGGGTATTCAATTTCCCGGATCAGCGTCCTCCCAGAAGTGTGATATGTCTCCTACGACTCCTCCGCTTCAGGAACCGTATCGAAGGTGATACAGAAGGAGCAGATAAATTTAACAGACTTCTCCTCGGGACCTCTGGCTGGAGAAGTGGGTCAGAGACATTGTCGTCTTACATAATGACTTCCAGAATAGACCGACCATGACTCACGTATTCGCGACCGATTCCTGCATTTCACTGCTTCCATTAAGATTCAATTTTCTGTTGGTTGTCCCCTTAATAGGATTTTGTTTAACTCTGTTGTAAATAACAAGTCAACATCCATTTTTTTAGCTCAAGTTATTTTCGTATTTAGGATCGAGACTTGAGTGTGAATGATGTGCAGTCATTTATAGTTGTCTCAAAGAACATTTTTAATTTTTTAATATCAAATGTTTTTAAAAGTGATTGAGGCATGCTAATTAAGAAGGAATGCCACAGTCAGAGAAAAACGTTAGTGTTGTAGTGTTGAATCGTGAATAGCAGAATTCAGAACATAGTTTTTCAGTTGACTACGTTGCAAACTTTGAGTTGAATGAATTGTTGATTTCTTTAAAAAGAATAACTACATTCACTTTATCGACAGTTAACAATACAATGGTGTTCAACTCTAAACCTTATCCAAAGATTGAAGCTCAGATTTTTTTAAGATCTATTGTAAACTCACTCTTTATTACATATAATTATTATACTGCATCCTAGATTTATTTATAACAATGGATACTTTGTAAAGATAATTAGGACATACATATTTTGACGTATATTAAATAATTAGAAATTTAGTTTAAAGTAAATGTCATAAAAATTTCCTCATTTAAATTTTTTTTTTTAAATTGATGAAATGCACTAGTACAAAATAGATTCAACTTAATTAAACTATATTCGCAACATAACATTCAGTTAATTTTTTATTTTTTTAATTTTAACTTGTGGTTTTATGTATTAAAGAAAGAAGCTTACTGAAGACTAATTCCAACTTTTGTTTTTTTGTTTCAGACGAAAGAACATCTCAAGCGAGCCAAGTCGAAGCAGAAGTGAGAGCGGGATTGACAGCTCAAATTTTACCAACCCGAGCGAGCGAAGCCAACCGACTACCAGCCATTCAAGCAACGATAGGGAATGATAAAAACTCGGAAGACAGAAAAGAGAATACGGAACCGAAGAAGGACAATTTAAAGGAAATCAATTATGAACCAACAGTCGAGGAACATTTTAGCTTTACGAACGATTTAAAAGAAGGATATCTAGAGCTTTCGCCAACTAAGGCGGGCCCAGGCAACTCAGGGGCCATCCTCCGCACGGCTTCGGGGGAAGGATCTGGGGGCCCCCGTGGGAAGGTGGGGGGGCCCACTGCTGGTCGCAAGTCCAGCCCGGATATCCAGGAGATCATCACGGGTTTTGTCAAGCTGCTCAACGGCAACACACCCGCGGTGCCCCCTAGGCCGGTGAGGACGCGGATTAACAATCGCGGACCACCTCGCATCACGGATCTTCCTCCTCTTGTCTTGGACCCACCGAGGAGGGATCCACCACCTTATCCATTCGAGAGGCCACAAGGAGTAATCAAACCCTTTGTATCAGGGGTGCCACTGCCAGAACAAATTGTACCCACTGAGCCACTGCCTATGCGACCTCCGTTGCGTCCGGTGAGGAACAGAACGCAAGAAGTCATCCAGCCGACTCGGCTTCCTATCACTCCTCAAGTCTTGGGCACGGCAGTGTCCTCTACTGTACAGGAAGCTCCTGCTAACCTGTCCAAGGTAGATAACTATACAACCACAACCAAACCACCACCTACGAACGCAACTACCGCATCACCTCCAACAACTGTAAATCGATCTACAACCACTACCAATCCACCTACTACCACAACAAATAGGACTACAACCACTACAAATAAGCCTACCACGACTACCAACCGCGTAACGTTGGCTCCACCAACCACTACGAATGCAACAACGACCACTACCCGAAATACAACTCCTAAAATAGAAATCAAGATCCCTCCTGTAACAATGAAGACCCCCGTCGAACAAGATAAGAAGAAGAAGATTGCTGTCAGTCCGAGTACGACTATAGAACCCTCAATAGTCGAGGTGGTCACCGTCGAGGAGACGAAATGGAACGACACGCGGACTAAAGGTAAGTAGCGGGACCGCGACATATCTAACTGTTTATATGTTCTCTTGTCCAGTTCGTGTCTTCCTGTTCCATTCTCTAGTCATATTTCTTTTTAAATTCTATTTCTCATATTTCCTACTAATTAGATGTCAGGCAATTGTTTAAAACTCTTCAATTATTTCAAATATTTTATTGGAAGAAGTTGAAAATTAAATATTAAAAGTTTTTTTCTAATGACGGATTAAATAATTTTAATGGAAGTGGTGTACATTGGAAGTTACTATAAATTAAACAGAAAAATTATAGTAATTTATAAAAATATTTCACCATAATTTAACAACACCGTAAGACCGTAAGTGTAACAACACCGTAAGTGTTGTATTTTCTCCAGATATCTATTTTGTTTGGCTTTGCTTGAAGTTTTTCAGTTTATCCTCCTGAAAAATCACCACGAATGAGTGTACACATGAATGTGCTGAACATGTTTTTTATTTATGAAGCTAAGTTGCATTTGAGGAACATTGTTCGTTTTTATTCCAATGAGAATCGATAATAGCTGATTGGGAATTCTTAAATTAACCGATTGCCGATTTCAACGCGCTATGTACTACAGATTGTAGTTGTAATGTACGGGTCTGAATAATTCTCTTCTGACTTATCCTCAGTGATTTTCCCAAGACCAAAAAAACCATTGTGCGAATAAATGGTCTAAAACGTAGGGTCCCGTTCTATACGGTACTCTTAACACATTTACGTAATGATACGAAGAGGTAGGATGCCGCATGAGGATAATAGAAAAAATATGTACATATTGCGGTTGTTTTTCTACTCTTTAAGAAATCCATGTAATGGCCATAACAGGATTATGGCCATTCAAGTAATATTATATTTAATTTACAATTAAACAAACTTGCTCTTCCAATTATATTATAATTAAAATAACATTATTTTGTTAGTAGCATTTTACCTCTATTTTATTCGTAAAAAAAATATTTATTGTTTTTTAACTCATAAATTCTTCAAAAATATTGGATTCACATTTATTCATAACAACTAGTATTGGTAATTTAGCTATAAGCCTATGAATAATATATGTCATTGGCAGGGATGTTGCAATTTGAAAGTAGGAATATATCATTCAATGTATCAGAACCTAAATCATTGGTAAATTTGAGAACCTACTTTAAACTGTGGTAAATCATTTTATTTTACTCAAATGGTTATTAAAATTTAAAAGCAATTAACTTTAAAATAAGGAAATGGGGATTTTATCCTAAAAATGCGTAAAATGTTATGTACCACCTATTTTAGGAATTAATCTCTCATTTAGTTTTTGACTTCTTTCATGAAAGATTTTATAATTAATACCTATGTTTCTACATTTTAAAATGAATTTTTAACTGCAGATTAGTTCTATTTTAAATTTCTAATTTGAACTTATGTATACTGCTTATTTGATGAACACATAATTACAATTTATGTCAACTTTTATTAATCAGCTCAGAAAAAGATACCCTTAGCTTTGTCATAAAAAAGTGAAAGCAAAATTTGATGTTAGCTGATTGAAAACTATGCACTAAAGAAAAAAAATATTCAGAAGAGGGAAAGCCGTGGGAGCATTTTCCAATTAGTTCCAAGCGATCTGTTTGCTTTCCATGCTTTGAACACATTCATGATCAGCTAACCGCATCTAAATTTAATTGGAACATTAGTTGTTCAATGAGGAACAATTTGCTTAATACTATTTAAAGTTTATTTTATCATATTTTTGAATTAAAATTAAAAAATTTCACATATTTTAAAAAACAAAGAAAAGAAGTTATAGAAATAACTATTAAATTTAAAAATGAATAATTATAATTTAAAAAAATAATAATTCTAAAATAATAGACAATAGATATGGGTAGAAGATTGATTGATTCCATCATTGCTCTTTCTTGAGGCAATAGTATCTCAAGACTTCAGAAATTGAGAATAAAAACATTGAGATAATAAAAATATGTCAATGTTTTAAAAATAAATTTGATTCATTGGGCTGAAGCTATTTATTATTAGCTTTCATCAATTTCATTAATGAATATACTGATTTCACTAATGTTAATAAATCAGTGATATTTAATTCACTAAAGAATTTTTTTAGCCATTTGATTTACTCTCACTACAATTTGAATAGTTGGTCTTATATTTTTAGCCTCTTAATGTTAACAATTTTTAAATTTCATTTAAATGTTTGATCAGTAACATATCTTTTAAAAATTAGTTTATGGAGAAAAAGTTATTGAAACAAACATACTCTGATTATTTGACTCTATAAATATTTTAATAATCGATTAGCTGTTTTGGGATCTTTAAGATATGACCCAAACACTAATTACATATTTATTACTGGGTATATACATATATTTCTTTATATATTCTTTAATAAATTTCAGTTTCTTCATAAAAATATTTTTTTCAGTTACAGGAGGATATGCGCCCAGACCTGGAATAGTACTAGATGATCCAGAGTATAAGCCAGGAATAGGAAAGAGGCCAACAGTAATAGAGACCCATGGAGGAGGGCAAGTCTTTGATATCACAGTATCTGCGGTCCAGGGGCCTGATCAGCCTTCGAAGACTGGTCAACCTGTGGTATATCCAGGTACGGCAGAGAGAAGTACGTTCATATTGATATTTATTTTATTTTACTTTTTTAAATATATTTTTACCTTACTTAGTACAAATAATAGATTTTTAAAAATATTAAATGTTTAATATATTATTAGTAAAAAATTATTTCTTATCTAGGGTTACTTATACCCTGATATGCTAATTTATATAGTTATTTTTAGGATTTTGTCTAAATAGAAGCATGGTAATTCTGAAACATATATTCAATTTTACAGAGATTATTACTTACCATATTACAGATTCATAGATCTGTTTTAAGTTTTAACCAGAACTGTACTTCCTAAAGCCATCCATTTTATAAATGAAAACTAATTAAAATTAGAATTTCAAAGAACCATTCTAGTCAAGTTACAAAAAAAAAAAAAAAATAAATAAATAAAATTTATCTTATGAATATACTTAAGGGTTTGTAAAACAAATTTATAATCTTATAAGATAATTACTTTACATTTATAATAATGTAATTACAATAAAAACTATCTGATAATTCTCTCTGTATTTTTTTTGTTGAACGCAAGTTTATTGTTTTTGAAAACTTTGGAAAACTTACTGTTTTATCTGGAAAAATAAAGAATGCACATTTTATTTGAACTGTTTTCGTTTGTTCAATTTTATATGTTATTTTATTTTAGGTATCATAATAAATTATTATGGTGATTATTTTGTCATTTTGTACCATGAGGCTTAAAATATACTCATGCTAAAGTAAACTTTAAAGGAACAAACAATGCCATAAGGTAAAATGATATATTGAATTGGTTGTAGTTGAGCTGGAAGGAGTCAGCCTGCCTGGAGCTGGAAATGGTGAGGTCTCGGTCATCACCTCAGCTGAGGCTGGCCAACATTTTGTCTCTATTGATGGAAAGAGGACCTACATCAGCCTTTTTGGAAGTAGTGAGGCACCTGCTATAAAACCTACACCTGTTCAACGACCCCAAATGAAAACAACTCAAGGGTGTGTTTTTTTATTAATCATAATAAGTTTTAGTTTTTAATTATAAATAGATTTAAGGCAAAATATGATATATGATCATAGATTAATTTTATAAGATATATTCATGAATCAATGAGTGCAAACAGAGCATATCTCCACTGAAAAAACTTTTAAAAAATGAAAAAAAAATTAATTCTGTTTGGTTTTTGTATATCAGATAAGACTGTGAATTAGCAAAAATACAGCTTTCAGACTCTTAAGAGAATGATCTTTACTAGATTCAATGAAGTAATAGGTTAAATAGAACACAATAATGAAGATAACTCATGTACTACAAATAACTAGAAAATAACCTTTTTAAAATTCAAAAATTCACATATCAATATTGTTTTTTGAAAACAGTTTAAATGCCAATGGGTAAAAATTTAGGTTTTAATTTATTACGCGCCATTATCTTATAAATAAATAACTATGTATTAACTCTATCTAAGTTAAACATACAAGTAGTTAAGAAGAGAAATAGTGGCCATCATATATTATTTTATTAGCTTCTCTCTTGTCATAATGAACTTAACATTAATAAAAAGGAATTGAATTTAATGATGGGTGTAATAATTATGTTCACATATTATTAGTTTGTATAAAAATTCACATAAAATAAATCATTTGCAATACTTTTTTCTTGGCTTTGACAGAACGTATACTGGGACAAGAGTAAAGCGACCTCCTCAAAGTGGAAGAAGACCTCAACAACCCGCTGTACGAATAGACACATGCATCGTTGGTGACTGGAGTACCTGTGACAGCGAACAACATGAGACTTGTAGAACAGAGCAAGGTGTCTCATCTTGTCACTGTTCTCCAGGATATAGTAGGCGCAGTCATAGGCAGCCATGCAAGAGTTAGTAAATGATGAATTGGTTAAACACATTATTATAAAACATTAACTATTAAAGAAAACTCAAATTCTTTTTGGATAAATTTAAATTCACAAACTATGAGGAAGTATTTTATTAAATTAAACAAAGCATGTTCCAAAAAATTATTTGGATCAAAAGTTTCCTGTAAATAAAATTTTATATAAGCTTGTTATTTATAGTGGTGTTAGATGCTAAATTTTTCAGCAGAAATATTGAGAATTTTTAGCCTCTGATTAACCAATAACACACCAAACAATAAATAATTTTATTATTAATGTTACAGGAGTAGTTTCATTGGTGACATCTGTTCAAGTGGATAAATTCTACGACCAAAAAGTGACTTGGAGTGAAAAACTAAAGGACCCTGATTCTCAGGAATATCTTCAACTGGAATATGAAGCGATCAGAGCAGTAAGAAAGGCTTTTTAATCTTTAATAAATACATATTCCAATGTAAAATAATTTTGTATTTTATATTAGATAAAATTCCAGTGTTATTGAATAATTTAAAGTCATTAATTTTATAATCTAAAAACTTTAATTAGTAAAATATATGCCAATTACAAATATATTTCAAACAATTATAAATATTTTTTAGATGGAATCAGCGATGTCAATGACACCATTCTCAGATGCCTATATGGGTGCTAAGGTGAATGGAATCTATACACACCCGGGATCAGCACAGAGACCAGTTTTTGTTAATGTTACACTCCAAGTTGAGGAGAATGCTGAAAATCTGCGGCCGCAGGTTAGGGGAGAAATCCAGAGGCACCTTTTAGGAGCTATTCATCGAAGAGGCAATAATATTGGAACATCTCATTTGTGGGCCCCTACAACCAATGGGGTTTCCCATCTTCAAGGTGAAAACAATATAATCATAATTTTTGTTCGTAGAAGATAATAAAAAATAACTTATAAGGTGGATATTTAGCAAATTAAATTAATTAAATATTAAAATACTGTAATATAAAATATCTGTATAGAACACTCTTTCTCATTTCTATACTTTTACAAGAGAGCAGTTCAAACAGATGTTTTCCTCCAAATTAAAGTCTAGTTAATATTAATTTAAAAAGATAATAATTTGCTCTTCTCATAGGATGTCTTTGGTCTCATAATATCTGTACCTCTGGGTAAAGCAAATATAGTTAAATATAAATGCCTATAAATATTAAATTAGTTTGGAAAAAAATAATGTCCTTTATTTCTGAGTTTCAGATAAATTTGTTATAATTGCTTGGTTTTTCTGTTTCTGTTTGTTTTTGACTTTAAGTAAAAATTTCTTGTTTAAATTATTATTAATTTAAATTCTCCTTAGAAGATGATGGCTGTAAATGTGATACTAAACTTGATAGTCTGTATTTTCAGTCATTTCTGTGTTTAAAGTTAAATGGTTGAAAGTTGATGGTTAATTTTGTAAAAATTTCGGTTTGATTAGTTTTACCTACAATATTTCCAAGATATTATGCAGTGTATACACAGATGTAAAATTGACCATTTGATCTGTCTCAAGTGCATTGATAACTGACCTGGTAACTTTCCATTATGTATAATAAATATTCCATAATTTTCATTATTTTAATTACCACCATGATTTCTTTAAAAAAATACTAAATACCATATATTATGAGAAATTTAAATAAAAATGAAAACAAAAATAAATTACTCCATTACTTTATTATTTTGTCTGTTTATTAATACTGTTGATATTTTAATCATTTGATTATTTCATTACCCCATGGTTAGAATCACTAAGTCAGTATTAAAAATATATTCAATTATTGCATACAATAATTATTGTTATTCATTTATTAATTTTTAGATTTGGATGAGTGTTCTTCACCTGATCTGAATGATTGTCATAATGCAGCTACTTGTCGTAACACCTTTGGTTCATTTGAGTGCACCTGTCCTCCTGGTTATAAGGATGAATTTTCAACAGTATCACACAAGTCTGGGAGAAGATGTGAAACTTGTGGACCAGAATTTTGTAATCATCGAGGAACATGCTCTTATAGCAATTCTCAACCAGTCTGTCAGTGAGTAACTATTTTTTGTTTAGGATTAATGAAGATTAAGTAAAACCAGATGTTTAATACTGAAATAATATCTCTCCGCATCCCCTATTAACAAGGTTGCCAAGAAAGGGGTGTTTCATGGCACAAGTTCCACCAAGAAAATTTTTGAGGGGAACACATTTTGATGGGTTTTTGAATTTTTGAAGGGGGCTCATTTCGACAGAGTTAGGAATTTTTAAAATGAAAATTTCAAACCAGAACACAAGAGGAAGCATAGAACAGACTGCAGGATGTGTAATTGAGTATAATCTATGATTTTATAAATGCTTCTTTTGTTTACACTGTTTTTTAAGAAGATGACAGTAAAAAAATATCTTGGGAGTGTTAGGGGAAGATTCATGTGACCATCAACCATGGGGAGATATGTACCCCTGCCTACCAATCCCTAAATCTTCAAGATCAAACAAAAAATTATCATTTACTGCTTATTACTTATATAGTCTTCAATTTGGTGCTGGTTGATTGCATTTTTGATAGTTCCTTACCAACCACAAAAATTTTACTGCTGGTGAAAAAAAAAAATGAACACTGAATAAAACTTTTATAAACATTTTACTTATTTTGTTGGCTTTATGTGCTGGGTCTAGACCAAGTGCTGGATCTAAATTTATTTTCTGGATCTAAGTTGTTTTTTAAATAGCAGTTTTCATGACTAAAGGAGAGAACACAACCACCTAATACAGAACTCACTCACAACAGATATTCTTAATCCTGTAATAAAATAGTTGAGAAGACTACAAGGTAGCTTCTCTTCATTTTTCCTCAAAAAATCTGTCCTTCATCGTCTCAGTACATATCAATCAAGAGAAATCCAAGTATTTGAAGCCATAAATTATGCATATCTACTGGTATTTGGCCAATAGGCACAGGTGTGCATTAAATAATAGGCAACAATTAGCAGTTACTAACTGATTAAATTTATTTAATCATATTAATTATTTAATAAACCATAATCTATGTTCACAATTATTTTCTAATCAAAGGTGCTCTGGGAACTATTATGGCTCACAATGTGAAGTTGATGGTGAAGTGCTAGGAGTAGCAATTGGAGCATCTGTTGCAGCTGTTATTATTATACTTTCAACTCTCGCATGTCTTTGCATGTGGAGGTAAATAGTAGATGATTATTAATTCTTTTTTCTAAATTTAACTATTGTTGGAATATTTAATTGATAATATTATAGATTAATTAATGTTGATTCTGAATTCAACCAATATGTTTCAAATTTATTATTTTAATTTAAATGTATTTGTAAATGATTGTTTTATTTTCAGTCGACGATGGAATAAAGAAGAAAAGGTGGGTATGGGCTCACCAGTATTTGGATATATGCCATCTGGTGGAAGTAGTGTAAAAACGCCAGGTATCGGTGCTCCACCTTACCAAGTATCTCTGGAAGATAGAATGCGTTGGGCGCAAATAGCTGATGTTATGGCTCACTCAACCAATCACTACGCGGTGGGTGTATGTAATCTCTCTCTCTCTCTTTTATTCTTAGATATTTACTTTAATTTAAAATAACAGTCCATGTTGATACTTATGCTGATTTTACTGAAATGTTTGGTTACCTTCTATTTGATATTATAATTATTTTATTTATATTAAAAAATTTCTGGCATTACTATACAATTTTTTTTTTATGATTAGATAAGTGACATTGTGAATTTGATTTGATTGTCATCTCTATTTTTCGTTACATCTTTCATATTTATTACAAAGGAATCAAAATTAAAAGAGTCCATAAATTATTCTTATTTCTTATTAATTAAGCTATTTTTTGCACTCTAATATTTATTCAGTTATTTTGGTGACAAAATCATCTGTCCAATTTCACCATTTCTGAAATGTGGTAATTTCTAAGTTGCCATTTTTTTATTTATTTTTTTTAAATGCATTTAATTTTGTTGAAGCCTGAACCTGTTAATATCCCAACAAGACCTTCATCTGCAATGTTTGGTTATGGAGGTACTCTTCCAGTTGCGCCAATGCCATTGCCCAGGTTTGAACAAATTGTTTATCATTTAGTCTTTTCAAAATAAAATATTCTCATGTTATAAGTTTATCAGTAGTATTATCACAGATATGATACAATCCTATAATTTTTACTATTATTATTTTTTTCTTCAATCATTTAAAATATGTGGCAATAAAATGATTAATTTAATAAAATATAAATTTCTGTTATAAAATTTGACCATTTTTTTAAAAATCGTAATACATATTATTTCTTATTTTATGTATGGTATATATTACATATAACTAGTTGATCTTCTAAGCCTCAATAATCCTAAATCAATATTTAATAATGTGATAATAATTGTTTCTTTAAACCAATATTTGGTTTTGTAGATTGGGTTTAAGATCTGGGCAAAATACAACAAGACATGATTCTAGTAGTGAGGAGGAAGACAGGGCAGATTTACTTGGACGAAGCTTCCAGGTTCCTCGCCCTAAAAGTAGAAGCTCTATAGCGGTATGTTGTTTTGATATTTATACTTTTATGTCAATATTTAATAGTTTTTAGGTCACAGGTCGCCAATACAGTATGTCTTTATTTACCAACGTTTCGGCTTCTTGAGCCATTTTCAAGAATCTTTTCTTTAAAATATTTCAATTGTTAAACATTCTGTCACATATATTGTCCTTGTTCTTTATTATTTTTCTATTTAAAAATATTTTTATACAATACAATAATTTTTTATAATTTTGGTTTAAAATTAATGTAAATTACCTACCTATCATGTACCATTTATAAATTTATTTTCTTCAATATATCATTATTATTATATTTTGTCTGGTTATCCATCCTTTCTTTAGTGAAATTTTGTTGTGATTTCTAAAAAATTTTATATAAATCATTATATATAATGTTAAATTTTATTTCTAAGAAAAGAGAGAAGGAATAATTTGGTATTGAAATATTTACTTTGAATATAACAAATGAAATTTGTGAAAAATGACTGAATGGTTATGGAAAAATAAATTATTAATAGTTATTTACTGGAATAAGAAAATCTGCCTACAAATGAATTGTTATTAAATATTAATCAGAATGATGAACAAATTTTTATTTGTAATTCTAAACCCTCATGAACCAAAAATTTAAGTTTTGTTTAGACTTACCTGCTCATAAACAGCAGGCTGTAGTCAATGCTTTTTTTTTAACTTTTTCAAAGTATACTGAGTTCTGGAAAGGACTACTAATAGTTGTGTGTCCTATATGAATAGAATTTATGGAATAGATCTCGTCAATCAAACCGAGGGTTAGAGTATCCTAAGGTTAAAAAAACTTAGCAATTCAAGTCATAAAATGTTATTAATATTCTAAGTATTTTTATAATAACAATAAATATATTATTTTAAATAATATAATATAATTTTCAGAATCAGAGTGGTATTTACTATGATGTGGACTATGAACAGCAGCAGGGTGACCACTTTACAACTACTAAATCACATCCTGGCTGCATCGCGCTCAATACGTATACGCTAGGCAGAGCACACTACTACAGGACATGAAAGACGTACCTGCCATCATGCCTAGCATTTATGAACTGTGATTAATAATTATGGAAGGATATTAAAGTGAAAGAATTAAAGAAAAACTTTACACACAGTCATAAATAAACCTATTATTACAAACAAGAGGGACATATAATAACTGTTATTATGACTTGAAATAAAAGTGGGACCTCTTTTGTATATTACTAACATTTGTATTGTTTAAAAAAAAAAAGTTGTTTAATTTTGTTATATTGAAGAATGCTTTCTTCAATGATTCGGTATGTGTTTTTATTTTCTTATTGTAACTAATGGACATATCGGTTGACGTTCACATCCTTTTGATAAACCAAAGTTATACTATGTTCAGGTACATATTATTAAAGAATTATAAATCCAAAAGACAAAATTCTTTTGTGGTCTAACTTGAATTCTTTTATGCTGTAAATATATAAATATATATACATAATTATATTAAAATAGATATTGCCTATTGTTAAGGGCTAATTTAGTTATAAAATAAGTTATTTTACCTATATAATGCGGCTATTAATTTAGATCATGACCTATAGTGATACTTATATTTTAAATTAATATCGTAATTCAATTTTAGCTATCTAGCTAAAACAAAGACCATGCTTGGAACCCAATTATTTACTTTGTACATATATATATTATTTACACTAGAGATATTAATCAGTATCGAGGAGTTTTGAGCTAAACTTTCTTTAAGTACTCTTAGAAATTCATTAATAAAAGAAATATAAAATATTTCAGCCCAACTAGCCCAATTTTTTAAATCCATTAAATTATCTTTCTATTATATAGATTGATATTTTGTAATATGTCTTTGGTATATTAATTCAATATTTCAGTGAAATATGAACTGGTTGGTGGTCAAGAAAAGAATTCCAAATTGTAAATTTATTTATTTTAATTTTTGAGATTCCTTTCTTGAGGCCATCCTGTATATTATTTTGAGTTTTATCCATAGTCAACTAATAATAATTATGCAATAATTAAAACATGTTTTAAATATAGTGATCGCTCTTTTTTAATAAATTTGTCCTTAACATTTATTTATTTTTTAAATTGAATATAATAAACCAGCTGGAATGATCATCACATTAGTCTCAGTTAAAAACAAAAAAAAGTGACAAAACTAACTTTTCCACAATTAGTTGACCTTGAATGTGATAAAATTCTTTAATGTTGTTATAAATTCTGTTTTAAATTTATTTATGCAACTGAACTGATGTGCTGAGAATAGTGGTTGAATAAATTATCTATATGTTTTATCTTCTCTTTTTTTTTTTTAATGAGATGACTTACTTAGTAATCTCTCTGTTGAGAAATATATTGTAAATGAAAAGTAAGAAAACTGCATTTTTCCAATTTTGATGAATACACTTACAAAATTTCATCCAGAATTAAGTCATAAGTTTCAAGCATGTTATTGTGAACAAGTAATAAATGCAAAATTTTCTAAATTAGACAGCTTTTAAAGATCTACATAAAAGAAACATAGACTTATATTTGATAAGAACGAAGAATTAATGATTTAATTAAATTAATGTAATTTTTTGTTATATTTTTTATAAAATACATTTATCACTCTAGGTAACCAAATTATAATAGTCAGCAATTTTATAATGCTCGAAGGAGACCTGTATGTACATTATGAAATGGGGAAAAGTAGAAATGTTTGTATTTGAACAATTACCTTTAAAGTTTCAAATTGAAATATTTTTAACTTTAAGGGTATTTGTTTGATGATTATTGAATAATGTTAATAATTTATGTATTAGTAAATTATATTAACTAGATTTCATTTTTAAATTTTAAAATAAATGTTTCCTTTTTAATAGATCTATTTATTTCTTTATCCTTAATGATATTTATTTTGTATTATATGGGGTGTTAAATAGTTTTCATTTTTTTCATTTCTAGCTTATGTTATTAATGAAGTCAAAGCTGAGTGAAAATTTAATTTTTGTGTTCAATGTCACTGTGAGATGTGTCTAAACAAATTAATTGTGTCTTTATTGTAGTTAAAATCACTCATAATTAATATCTCACCATCTAAATTTTAATTTTTCAGTAAATATGGTTACTCACTCGTAAGGTTGAGGCCATTATATTTCAGATGCGACCTGAAAAACAAAACAGGAAAAGTATACAGAAGAAAGAATTAGACAACAAATCTGTGTCACTACTGCTTCATCTCATAATATTTATAATTGTATAAGATTTATTGTTTAATGGAATTAAGCAATAATCAATAGAAAGTTGTGGAGATTTGTGAACGTATTAAATGTAAAAATGATAAGCTTTTTAATTATTTGTTACTCTATTGTTTATAAGATGATCCTGATGTTGCATAGTATGAAGGCGCAGGAAGGGCGGCTCTGATGAGCGGGTCGTGCGTCACAATTTGCGACTCACAAATGTCAGTCCTAGAGATCCTACAAAAGATCCTTTCAGGAAAGATACATGGGACAAGGAGGTCTGGGAAACCAAAACTACGATGGGAAGACAGAGTAACCCATGATGCTAGGAAAATGATGGGTGTGAGGAGCTGGTGAGCGGCAGAACACAAACTGAGATGGATGGTAGAGGTTTATTTTCAAGTGTATGACTCACTAGAGGGTTGTAGCCGATAGTAAGTAAGTTAGTTTAGCTTGAATCTTCAAAGCAGTTTTAGAAACAAACATCTACATTCTCCTGAAAATTATCTTTATAAGAGTTAATGAAACAAAACTAAAACCAAAAAATGTGAATACTGGTCTAAGATATACAAAAGTATATCTTAAATATATTTCGTAATAATTATGTACTAAAAAATATTGTGCGTCCACTCACATGACTTTCCTATCTATTTCAGAAAAAATGTTATGTATTTAAACATGTCCATTGCGAAAAAAATATTGAATCAGATTCATTTTCCTGAAAATTGATCAGATAAAAGATTTCAGTATGATTTCTTTGATAAAGTAAAGTAATATAAACCAACTTGTGGAAGATAAGTGTAAAAAATTCAATACACTCTAATATTGGTAGTCAACAATTTTTTTACCTTAGTCCGATTTTGTCGGACAATAATTTCTGTTAAAAGTAGTGAGGAAAATGAAACTTGTGTGATGCGGGCAACAGATTTTCTTACTTTTCTTTTTGGCTCTCATTCGCTCATTTCTGACACTGTAATAGTAATACTGTAAATGTATGAACCGGTAATCTTACATACTAAATTTAATAGCTGTAACTTCGTTAATAGTTGTCTGAAATGAATGATTTTAATATAGTTTTGTAGGGAATTTCATTACATTAAAAAAAAAAAACAGGCTAAACAGTCACGCTAATACTAGTTCGATTCCGATACTTTTTTTTTTCTTTCGTTGGTAATTTAATTACCTTTTAAAAGTGTTTATATACATTTTACCATAGAATATGAACATAGTGAGCTGGGCTGTTTATGTTTTTGAGGCTTTAAGAACAACCCCGAAACATTTCCATTTTTTATAACATTTTTTTCTGATTTTTCTCGGGAATTTAGTACATGTAGGAAAATTGAAAGGACATTAATGAGAAAATTATGGTAGAGTTTCATTAAAATCGTTAGAGCCGTTTTAGCGCTAGTCTATAGAAACATATGTTTTTCACTTATTGCGCAGGGAGCACTCAATTTGTCTCACAGGCATCAGTAGTCAAAACCCTACAAAATAAAAAAAGAAGCAACAAAATCGGTCGTCTAGTTCCCGAGATAATCTTGGCACAGACAGACCAATGGCTGAAAATGTTTTTTTCAGACTCAAGGGCTCTGAAACGTATATAACCGTCGAAAATCGCAAATCGGAAATTCGACCAGATCCCAATACTTTCCTAACCTAGTATACGTAGGAAAGTAAGAATGTAATAGTTTATTAATGATAAATTATCTCTATTTTAAAAATAGAATATAAACAGTAACAAAAGTCACTATTCACAAGAAAAAATAATCTAAAAAATCAAACATATTTTAAAAAGTCAATATTTTGTTTTTTCCACTCTTAGCTTCATACATACCATTAAAGCAGTAAGTATTTGTGGTAGTTATCAAAGATTTGAAGGGTTCAGCCTATAGAAACATTTCATGCAGACAATTTTAAGTTTTGGTATGCTATAAAAATGTTATTTAAGAGTTTTTTGAGGAACAAAAAAAGAATATGAAATTAGTTTCTCACTAAAAAAATCTTTACTCACAGGCGTATTTACGGGGGAGGGGGCTTTCGGACTAAAGCCCTTTTCCCCTCTCCCCAAAATGGTAAAATGTCTCACTATTTTATGGATAAAAATTACCTCTTAAAATATCATTGTTCGTGTAATTAAATTTAATGACTTAAAGTATCACTTAAACACCATTTCATACAGGTAGTTAAAAACCGATCGGGCTGAAGTCCCCCCAAAAATTAAGTTCTGGATCCGCCAGTGCTCTAGATATCAGGCCGGTTAAGAAAAAAAAAAATACTATATTTGGCTGTAAATACAGTACAATAATTTAGCTTAGGAATAATTTGGAGCAACTTAGCAGTGGGGGAGGGTAATTATTTTGTTAGAAAGTTGATATTCGGGTTTCGCACCTTAGAAAACCCTTAAATACGAATTTTTATAGCAATCACAAGTAAAAACTTTAAAACAAAATTATTGCCTAGGCTGGACCCTTCGAAATTTTTTCGAAAACCACAATTATGATAACTTCATGATGCCTCCACTGATTCAAATGAAAGTTATTGGGTATGTAGGGCTCCACATACTACACGAAATGATACAAACTCGACCTCCGTAAACAAATTAAAACCAAAGATATAAAACAAAAAGGTTGGAGAAGTTTTTTTTAATTTCTAGGTGAAAAAGGAATGAAATCTAAAAATTATTGATGTGGGTTGGAAGAACCGTAATTCAGCTTTTCAACGGGTGTACTAACGTCGAATTTGAAGAAAATCCTGAGAAGTTATGAATACTTTAGTTAACGACCGAGAAAAAATAATCCAAAAAAAAAAAAAAAAAAACGAGTACTAAAATATGCAATTTTTGATTCATATAATAATTCCTATTACACTAAAAACGAATCTAACTTGCTTTTTCACAACAAAAATTTAATTGGCCAACTTTACTTGAAGCAACTTTTGTTTTTTATAATTTATGACACATTATAACTCATTTAACATTATTGTTTTTATCCTGCTAAAAAAAGGGCCAAAATAAATAACATAAATTTTGTTTGAAATTATATAACTTTTTCTCTCGGCTCCTAGGCTATGGCGTTCGTTCGTCGGGGCATGTGTCTGATATTTTTTGAGGTAGTATCACCGAAAAAAAATTGGTTGAAATCAGTGACTTTCGGGCTGTATACTCTCCTTGTTAGTTAATTTATATTGTTTTATTATATTCAGAATATTATAAAGGCTTATTTTCAGTTGTTTTTCATTAGAGACACTGAAAGTCATTCGTTGTAAAATTTAATAATGATATATCGCTCTACTTCGGAGATTTCTTACCGCCTTAAACATTACTCCATAGATCAAAATACACTTGAGAACTAATCATTTTAATTATTTGTGGCAAAATATTGTATATGGAACAACCATAGGGGAAAGATGGAGGAACACTTTCAAACCTCAGTTTACGTGCTGGTTGAAATTTTATCCGTACTGTGACATACCTACCTGGTATATATCAAGATAACAGGGGTGTCCCTCTTCCTCTTCCTCTCCCCCAGGTCAATGGCACATGTCCCCCTCCAAAATAAAAAAAAAAAAAGATATTGCACTCATTCTCATATCCTTCACAAGTTTAAGCAGAAGTTGAATTATAAAAATTGTTGTGTACTAGTAGGCCTGTACGAAAAATTCGCACAGCATATTGTTATCAAATGCCAAATTAATAAGAAAATAAAATAATGCAACGTATCAAAAGATAAAGAAATCAAATGTTACTTTATCGATAAATATAATTGACAAAGAAAACAAAAATTAATTTAAATCTTCATTTTTGTTTGGAACCAACATGTTTACAAATTTCAGTAAGTTCTATCTTTGCCAAAAAATTGCCAATTTTATTGATTTTTTTTTTCTTTTTGTGGGAAATTTAGTAATCTTTTATATAATTATGGGCAAAACACAAAGTGAAAAGTGTGTAATTTTTTAATTATTCGCAAATAAAGTTTGTTATCTTTCATAACTTGTTTGCCTGAATTTTCGGGGTAATTGGACTATTTTGCCCGCCTGAAGGAGAAGGAAGCCTTCGAAATTGGTGCCTCAATCTTGAGACTTGGTGAAAAATTGACGATGATATGGCTTGCCGATCAAAAACACCATCGATAAATAATATAAACTTCTCCTCTCTCGACCATAGAGACCTCAAGTCGATGAAATGAGACAGTACTACGATTAATGTAAGGTTGTGTGGATGCGAACCCTATGCCTTGCGTTATCTCGAAAATAGTACGTTTTGGGGATTAAAACGCAGGATCCGATAGTTCCGATGGAACTATCCGGGTCTTGCTGTAGATCCAATTCGTCCCGTATCGATATACGGACCTACCACCGTTCAGGTATTGAAGCCTTGCAAAATGTTTGTATCGACTTTATTTATTTTAGAAAGAAAAACAAAAGTGGAGAATACGATTCGCTAACCCCCCGTGAAATTCTGAATCCAACGGTACCCCATTCAGGGTATTTGAGCATGAACCATTGAGCCTTACTGTAATAATAAATGTGGGGATATTAGACTTAAAATTAATTTCAATTGCTGTTACCAGTTTCATGTCCTTTCCTTCCTTGAAAGTTCTTCGAAATTGTAAAATTATTGTTTCTTCAAAAAAATGC